TTGATGCTCAGGGAAATTCACATCCCCAAAGTTCCCATAATGAAGTTTCTAATCATATTTTGCATGTGTACCAGACTTTTATTTTTCAGAACGTTTCCACCATATTTAACCATGCCAGTCCCCTGGTAAGCTGAGATAGGGTCTGTTCTGCACAGTGGTCGGGGTGATTTGGGAACTCGCCTGCTTCACAGAATTTAGGTTCTGTCTAGAGCTTTGCTTTAGGAATCACTGAAGCACATCCCCAAGCAATGAGGCAGAACTGTGGACAGCTGGGAGGCCGGAGCTCACCCACCAAGCTGGAGGCGGTGGCCAGAGAGAATTTTATTTTTCCTTCTCCAAGAAAGCCTCTTAGATGATTATGAAATGAAGATGATTCTCTATATTTGGGACATGCTTATGGCAGGATGAAGTTTTCATCTACACATTTGGAAACAGGACTGTAAGTAATATCCTGTTGTTGTTTTCTTACTTTTTCATGATTCTTTTTCTCTTCTTGCAACACACATTCACGGTTATTGTAAAAAATGTGTACTATTTAGAAAGGTAGGATATGAAAAGGGATAATCATTCATAATCTCACTACCACTATTTTATAACTTGGCTTGGGGCTAGAGAGATAGTGTGTGTGTGGGGGGGTGGGTGGGTAAGGTGTCTGTTTTGCACATGATTGGCCTGGGTTCAATCCATTGTACTGCATATGGTCACCACAGCACAGTCAAGAGTAATCCCTGAGCACAGAGCCAGGAGTAATCCCTGAGTACCGAGAGGTGCGGCCCTACCTTGATTTGTGTTCTGGACTAGGCTATGCATTCCCTACTAACTCCATATCTATATATTTATAATTTTAATTTAAAAATAACATGCAGTGGGACTGGAGTCATAGCACAGCGGGTAGGGTGTTTGCCTTGCACGTGGCCGACCCAGGTTCGAATCCCAGCATCCCATATTGTCCCCTGAGCACCACCAGGAGTCATTCCTGAGTGCAAAGCCAGGAGTAACCCCTGAGCACTGCTGGGTGTGACCCAAAAAGCAAAAAAAAAATGCAGAAAATTGCACTATTCCTAATACTTTATCTTAGCGAAGTCATAGAAAGTGGATCACTTTCCTTAGTCCCTTTAAATGCAAAATAGAACACTAGTTACGCAAGTTCTTGGAGCCCTCTCTTTGTCTCTACCCTTTTCCTTCTTTGGAGAGTTGATCCTGACTTGTTATGAGAGCATCCTTTTATTCTTTTTCACTTTATAAAAATGGAATTCATAGAGGCTATAATCATTTATATCTGGTTTATTTAATTTCACATTAGATTATTAAGGTTCTTCCATATTACAACAAATCATTTTCTTTGCTATATATTATCCTGTAGGATGAATATGTCACAATTCAATTGTTGATGGCATTTGGATTAGTCCCATTCTGGAGGTATTCTGAACGCTGCTTCTGTGGATATGTCCTGGGCTGGAGGTATTCTGAATGCTGGTTCTGTGCATATATTTTGGGCTGGAGGTATTCATAATGCAGGTTCTGTGGACATGTCTTGGGATATAACATGAAATGATATTGTTGGGCTATAAAGCCTCTATACTGCTTAAATAAGTGATGTCAAACAGGCTGCTGAAAATTTATATTCCTATCAGCAGTGCATCAAAAGTGAAAATACATCCCATCTCCAACATTTGACAATGCTATTCTTTTGTTGTTTTAGTAGTCTGGTCGAATGCACTGGTAGATCATTGAAGCTTATTTTCCAAGTTACCTGAGAATCAAAGAAGTTAAAGGAGTCACATATGCTCCTGCTCTTTGTATTTAAATTTTCATGTGCATGAATAACTAGTACTTATGTATTCATGTATATGTTAAGATATAGTTGACATATAACATTATATAAATTATACAACAGAATGATCAGTAGCTACATATATTGCGAAATAATCAGAATAAATCTTGTTAATAACCATTCATATACTTCGACAATTTTTTTCTTATGGTGAGAATGAATTCTCTTATCAACTTTCAAATAGGTAACACAGAATTATTAACAAGAGTGACATGCCTAATATTACACACCCAAGTCTAATTTCATAAGTAGATTAATTTTTTTTAGTTTTAGGTCACAACAATGCTTACTCTTGGTCCTATGCTCAGAAATCACTCTTGGTAGTACTTTGGGTACCGCATGGAGTTCTGGGGATTAAACCAGCACTGGCCAGATGCAAGGCAAATTCTTAACCTTGGACCATCTCTCTGACCCTGCATTTAAACAAAATAAGTAAAATTTTGTACCTGTTGACTCCTTTATATCATATTTTTATTGTCTCAAATTCTTTTTTTCCCTTTACATTGTTTTGCCCACGTCACACACTCTGTGTCTGGCACCCACCAGCTTATATACTTGTGAGCTTTTTTTTTTAAAAAGAGAGTCTGCATATATGAAATCACCTGATATTTGTCATTGTCTTATTTTCTTCACTTAGCATAATCACCTGAACATATGTAGCTTGAACTTCATGCTGTGCTTACATGAACTACTTCTACCCTAGTAGAAATAGAGTATTTTATTTCCTAGTTGGTTACAATGTCACTAAAAAAAAAAAAAAGGAAAAGGAACTTGATCCCATAGAACCTGTTCGATTAAGGAAGAGTGGTAAAGCACTTTCTGCCATACTAATTCTCCCATGGAAAAGAAGGGATTCAGTCTTTTCTCAGCAGCAGACTTCTCAAACAACAGTTGACATGCTCCCTATGCCCATTTGAATTCTGAACACATCTCAGTATTGTCAAAGTTCTATGATGTTGGTGATGGGAGGAGAGAAAGAAATGGGAAGGGCGGTGCGTGTTGGCCCAGTCCACTAGAGATGGAGGGACTGAGACTCTATCAACATTTTGGGAGGGGGAGGCAGATTTAGGCTGTATCTTGCAATACTCAAGGTTGCTCCTGGCTCTGTGCTCAGGAATCACTCCTGGTGAGCTCAGGGAACCAAATGGGGTGCCAGGGATTGAACTCAGGTTGACAACTTGCAAGACAAATGCCCTTCCCACTGTAATATCACTCCGACCCTTCTGTATCAACATTCTTTAACCTGATCACATTTGAGGACTAGGACCAGCACCTGACTGCATACCGGTCCTAGGACCGATAGCTGAAACTACTGCAATGACAATTGCTTTTCAAGGGTCTGGGTTCCACAGGCTAATGATGAATGTTTACTATACGCCAGGCTATATAGTAACTACACCTTTACCACCCAAGTTACATGGATAATTTCATTCATTCCCAACTCCATAAAGGAGACAGTCAGTGCCTCTATGTCACAGGTGTGGAAACTGTGGTTGGAGGTCCAATGAAGGTCTTGCTTTATTTTTGGTTTGGGGGCCATACCCAGCAGTGCTCAGAGGTTGCTCTTGGTGGTGCCTGTGGAACCAGATGTGGTGCTGGAATAGGAGTCCCATGCATGCAAGGCAAGAGCCCTAACCCTTGTGCTATCCTTCCAGGCCCAGGTCTGTGCTTTAAAAGCCAATCCTACCTACACGTGTAGGGCACTCTGTACCATTTCCACTTCTAATACTCATATTCCTTTCAGGATTTACACCTCTGAATTAAAGTTTTGGTAACCTAAGTGTCTTTTTAACCTGTGTCAATTGTATGTATCTCACGGTGTTCTCATGAGGAGTGAACAGGAAAATCCATGTAAAGTAATAGTGAGACACAGTAAGCCAGTGCTGTAATGGTAGGATTTATCTCACTGTATTTAACTATTAGGATTTGTCATTCATTGGCAGGGAAATCAGTTCTCAGTTTTTTGGAATCCAGGTCCTTCTGCATCTGTAAGAACTACTGTGGGGGCCTGGGGCTACCTGCTTGCCTTGCAAGCCTGAAGACAGCCATTGACTCCAGTGCGGACCCCAGAGAGCACATTTGTGAGAACCACAATGCACGAGTGAGTGGGGCCCCAGTAGCCCAGAAGCAACGATGACAGCAAAAAACGAAGAGAAACGGAATTTAAGAAATGCATATCGTGGATCTTAAAGGGCTTCTGTTTATAGGGAACGATGCTGAGAAGGAGAGCCACAAGAAGCCCGTGTTCCCCAGGCTGCTGGCGGGACAGTGGCAAGCATTTCACGAAGCCTCTGGAAACCTCTGCATACTTGTCGCAGAATAAAGATGAAAGCACGTTAAAACATCAAAAATCTCCCCCACGGGTGCTCACAGTGATTTAAAAAAAAATCCTCCCGAACCTAACGGGTTTTCCGTCTATTCCCTTGCTATTTCCGTAAGACGAAGTTTGCCCCGGCCCCACACTTGGAGAACTCCGCGCTGGACGGACTGTGGCGCGTGGAGAAAACCCAGCGTGGGAGAGGCCCGAGCTGGAGCCAGCGCTCCGGGCGGTGGCCGTGGAAACTCCCGCGCCCCGCCGCGCCACCTGGCCCCTAGGGCGCGACCTGGGCCCCGTCTCCCGCCCGAGGTTCCCCAGCCGCGTCCCGGGCGACCGGAGACGGGCCCCGCCCACCCGCCGCCTCCGCGTCCCGGTTTCCGTAGCAACCGCGGCGCGCGGCTCGCGCGTCAGTCGGATTAGGCGAAACCATTCGCTCTGGGGGGGCGCTGGGGAAGAGAGGCGGGCAAGGCCGAGGGGCAAGACCCACTGAGGGACGCTCGCAGGTCCCTTTCCAGTCCATGTTGTTCGGACCACTTCCCTCTACTTTCTCCTTCAAAGCTTCCGCCGCGCCGGCGCCGTGTCTCCGCCGCTGCAGTCGAGTGCGTCCCCCCGCCACAGCCCACGAGCGCACCGGCCCGCCCGGGGGGCCGGAGGGCGGCGCTGATTGGCTCCCTGGCGGGGAGCGCGCGTGACGCGGCGCCCGGGGGCGGGGCGGGGCGCGGGGGCGGGGCGGGGCGGGGCGGCGGGCAAGATGGCGCCCGGCGAGTGATTCGCCTCGGGTTTGGTCCAGCGGCCGCCGCGACCCCGGGGCGGGGGTCCTGTCCCCAGCGGCGCCCTTCTCCTCTCCCCCGCCCCCGGAGCCCCCTCCTTCCTCTCCTCCTGCTGGCTCGGGGGGGGGAGGAGGGCTGGGAGCAGCGGGCCCGCTTCCCGGGACACCATGTCGGACTCGGAGGAGGAGAGCCAGGACCGGCAGCTGAAAATCGTGGTGCTGGGGGACGGCACCTCCGGGAAGGTCAGTCCTCGAGCGGCCCCGGGGACCCCCGCTCCGCAGCCCGCCGGCCGCCCGCCCCCCTCGCGGCGCCCCGCCCCGCCCCGCCCCGCGTCCGGCGTCCTCCTGGCTGCGGGTCGGGGCTCGGGCCGGCGTGGCGCCGCCGGGCTCGCGAGGCCGGGGGCGTGCGGGCCCCTCCGTGGCGCAGGAGCACCCGGCCCGGCACACAGGTCGCGTCGCACCCGGGCCGGGGTCGCCGGCGGGGCCGCGCGTCCCGGGGCTGTCTGCGGCCGGTCGCGGCGGCGGCGTCGTGGCGCTCCGGGGCGCGGGCGCCGGCACCCCCCGTGGGGCGCTCCGGGGACCGCGCACCTGCCGGGCCGCCGCGTCCCGGGTCCTGCCGGTGCCGGGGGCGAGAGGGACGCGAGCTTCGAGCATCCGGGCGCGTGTGTGTGCGTGTGGTGTGTGTGTATCCAACCCGTGTGTGCGTGTGTGTGTGTGTGTATCCAACCCGTGTGTGCGTGCGTGTGTGTGTGTGTGTGTATCCAACCCGTGTGTGCGTGCGTGTGTGTGTGTGTGTGTGTCCAACCCGTGTGTGTGCGCGCGCGCAGCCCGGCACCTGTCGGCACCGGCGTCCCCTTCCCGGGACCCTCTGCGCACCGCACCGAGGGGAGCCTTGCCTGGGGGTGTCGCCCTCCCGGCGCTGGGGTGGGCGGGGCGGTCGCTGGCGTGCGTGTGTTCTGGCTGCCAGGGAACCCAGAGGCCAGCGCCCTGCCCCGCCCGCCCGCCGGACCTCCCACCCAGGCCGGGTCCTCATCCTGCAGGCCAACGGGCCCCTGCTGCTTGCTTTTTTGCGGGGCCCAGGCGATCGATCTCCGAGGGGGCCTGCGGGGTGTGGTGTCCTCCCCGCCCCTTTACACCCGCTCCCCCCAGTCAAGTGAAGGGTCGCTACCCTGAGTGTGTCTGTGTGTGTCTGTGTGTGTCTGTGTCCCTGTCCCTGTCCCTGTCCAGAAGCCCAGGAACTGTTCGGGGCGGATGTTGCTAAAGCGCGTCTTCTCCGGTTCCATCCGCTGCTCCCCAGCCTGTCTGCAGGTGACGGTTGCTCCCCGTCCCAGGCTCCGGGTTCCCCATCTCGGTGCTTGGGGTGTTGTTTGGGCCTGGGCTTAGGGGGCCGCCGACAGCTCCTGGAAGCTGCCCTGGGAGACCCCGCCCGGGAACGCGCCGAGGGCCCGGCTTTCTTTCCCTGGGACGCTCGATGCAGACGACTGCAGCTGGGAGAAGAGAACCTTGGGTCACTTTTCTTTATTATGCCAGTATTGTGCGCTGAGAAACACCGTATATACAACTTGTTAGCTGTATCCACGGTGTTCCCAACGCCTTAGTCAGTAGAACTCGTTTTACAGTTTTTCTTGTGAATGACTTGTGACCATTTCCTAGTTTTGCATTCAGCTGATAACGGGTCCCCACCCCCGTTGAAAATCATGACAGTGTACGAGACTCTGAAGATAAAAATTGCCCAGTGTTCCTTAACAATTTTAAAGAGCTTCTGTTAATTTTTTCTCTCAGTATTTATATATTCTTATATATGAATTAGTTAAGATTAGAGTAGGACGAAGACGTTTTTTCCCTACAACCAGAGCATCTTTTTTTCAGTCAGAAATTTCCTCCCTTGAACATCAGCTCTGTAGGCATCTTTTATTTTTCGTATATCAAACTTTTTTTTTCATCCGTACCTTATTCTGTTCTAATAGGCAGCTACCAACAGTTCTATTTTAAAGTCCTTTTTCTCTTTTATGCGTCCAGCCTTTCACTCTTGTATCCAACTTTGACTCCTGGCCATTTTCACTGCATTAGTTTTTACTGTTGGGTTTTAACTCCAGGCGTTTTTTTGCACATTAACAGATGGACCTAAGTACTGAGAAGGCTGCTGACCCCTAATTGTTTCCCTAAGAGAAACTCAGCCCCTCCCCTAATAATACATGCTTCTCGTTCTTTCCTGTTCTCATTCAAACATTTGATTTTGTTGCATATTTAAGTGTTTTTTCCTTAGGCAAAAGTTTTTGGTGTTATCTTGTTATTATTAAAAAGGTAGTATGTTTAGAAATCGTTACTAAGTGTGCATATCAAAAAAACCAACCAACCAACCAACCAACCAACCAAACACAAAAAAACCCAGTCAAACAAAAACAACAAAACCAAGCATTTCAGATATGGAAACTGGTAGTTCACTCCATAATTGTCTAAGAAGGATATTTCAGTCATGATTCCTGAGACATCATTGAATGTGAAAGATGACGCAAAGTCTAGATAATCGAAGAGAAGACACAGGTTAGAACTCTGTCCAGTTTTTAGACTAGGATGCTGGAGATGGTGTGAGGACCCACGGCAGTGCTCTTTTCTCAGTGACCTAACAGCAGACTGTTCTCTATCCCATTTCAATATCTGAACTTTGAAGTTTGCTTTAAAAGTGTCAGGATGAGGCTTTCAGATGTAAATTCTTTTTCTAAGAAAAACAAAACAAAACAAACTTCAGGACTAATCTGAATAGTAATTAACTTACAAATACTGAACTTTGAGAATCTTCTATGAAAATGAAAACTTACCTTATATGACATTGTGCTATTGTTGAGTTTCTTTCTGACTTTGAAAGCATTTCAACCATTACCTTGCATTCATAAGCATTTTGCAACATTTGTAGGAGCATAGGTACTTCGTCGTGATTTTTCTCTAGAATTTTCACAGAATTAAACTCTCTGACAAGACTCAAGACCAAATTAAAATAAAAGCCTTTGAAAAGGAATGCTTACTTTTTAAAATCTGATCTCTTAGTTTTTATATTTTTGCTTTCTTCATCTTCTTCAGGGAAACCAAACTTTTTGGTGGAGTGAGTTTCTCATTGTCTAACAGAAATCTTTAATACTATAATGCCCAGAAAATATTTGGCTAGGTAGCTTAGAAATTTATTATAAATATTGAAATTTAAATATTAAAAGAATTAAAAGGCAGGCAAGTTGCCATCTATGTAAAAAATATAATTCCTGAGTCAAAAGGAATTTTAGGTCTTTTTTTGTCTTAAGGAATTTAAATTTGGCCAGGTTTTCTTTTGCACCACAGTATTTACATCATAGTTATTATAGGCTATCTTTGAAACTTCATCATCATTTTAATTATTTTAGGAGTTGATATCTTTTTTTTTTTTTTACTTTTAAAACTAGATATTAACTTGGAGAGTGGTCTGGAGGAGTATAAAATGTCATTAAGTTGCCCTTCTTTCCTTTGAGGAAAGTATACAAATAGTTCATGATGTTCAAGAAGCTTTTGAGTTACTGAGTTGTTGTGGTTGTTACAAAAAACATTAATGATTATTTTGCTTTGGTAGGAAATGGTACTCTGGAAGAAATCCAGAGTTTTGAATGCAAGTTTGAGTTACTTAATAACCTGGATAAAGCATTTTTTTTTGCTAGCTTTATATTAATTTTCTTTAAACTTCTTCACTTAAGATATATCTTATTAGTGCATTCTATGGGATCATTTAAAACCTTCAATACAGAGGAAAATGAGACAAAATATGCTTTACTTGTGTTGAAAGAGGAAAAATTCCATGATCAGGGTTTCTCTTCCGTAATGCTTATTATTAGCAGAAGGCACACACCGCTTAAAATATTTATTTAGAGTAAAGAGTCTAGAGTTCTCTTGGATTTGCATTGAAATGATGCTTCTGGGTATATTCGATTCAGAACTTGAGTGTAGTTATCGTAGTTTTCTCTGTTGATAATCCTCAGATTCTAATTTTCAGCAAGGCGATGCTTGACAGTAGGGGGTTTAAAGGGATGTAATGATTAGTCAAGTCCCACTGTTAGCTGCTGCAAGTGAAGCTTACTTGGGTGACTGTTAAGTTCCTCCTGACCTGTAACTGATTAGAATGTTGCTTGCTGGATTAGTGAGAGTATAAATATTAAGATTACATTAAGGTTTAATAGTCTTCTTATGCTTACATTCCTAAGACAGACATACATTTTGATAATTCTGTGCCTCAATTCTTTTTAGACCTCCTTAGCTACATGCTTTGCTCAAGAAACTTTTGGAAAACAGTACAAGCAAACTATAGGATTGGATTTCTTTTTGAAAAGGATAACCTTGCCAGGTAAGATATGACAAAATCTTAAAATATTTTGCTTAAGAAACTTTTAGGAAGTTATGGTAAGAGGACTATGGGATTGGATGTTGCTCGAGAAGGAGATGAAAAAGTCTTTTGACACATAAAATAACTTATTGTAAGTAATCTTATTGAGATTTCAAATGAAATGTGTGAAATAAATTTTGAGGCTGATTCACTGTGAAATTAAGTATTTGTACTAAGTGAGTAAATCTTAAGTTAACTTTCATCAGTGCCTATCATGAAGACATATTGTCTGTGGATAGGGGGAAAAAGTTTATACACTCCAGTCCCTCTCCGTCTTTGACAGTTTTTTCGAGAGTAAACAATAGTTACTTATAAAATTTGAAAATATTTTCGGAAAAGTCCAGTGCTATGCAGTTCGTAGCAGATAATGTATTAGCTAAATGTGAAAAGACTGGAAAGCATTATATTTTAAAATATTGCTTGGTTAAGCCACTGCTTCAGTTTTTTGTTTGAGAAAAAGTTGGAACAGAGGTATAGTGTAGCTATGGAACTTCTGTGCTCTAATATGTGAATGCTGTTTTATGCAAGGCAGCATGAAATTGCTGGCATTTAATAGACCACTAAAATTTAGGGTCCCTAGGCACTCATAAAAATACAGTTTGAGCATTCAAGATGTTTCACTGCACCATGCAAAGAAACTATTTAGATGCCAGTTGCAGCACATTTTGTGGGAAATACAGGGAAATAATAACAAAAAAGAGTGGTTTCTGTTTTAAGTTAGTTTCTCAACAATTGGGGCTTTAAAATGCTCTGTCCATTCATTTGTGATAGTTAAATTCTATGTTTAAAGTATTTTTATTAAAGCAGTTTATCTCCATCCCTCTCCTCTTGGAAGAAAACGTATTTGAATAAAAACCGTTGCAAGGGTAGTGTTAGGTTCATATATTGGACCGTGAACGATATAGTGGAACGGACTTTAATAAATTCCGATATTATTGAAATATGTTAATCTCTCAAACACCCCATTTATCACACAACTCTCCGTGAATGCTTTGGAGCAGCTAGTGAAAACTCTTGGTAATTGAAGGTATTCTGCCAGTCTCGGTAGTAATGTACACTATTATATTTTGTGATGGACTGTATTCAGCTACCAATGAAAATTAATTAGAAGACATGGCACGAGAAAAGAATTCTGATTTTCCATTACTAAGTCATTGTTCAGCAAGTAGTTTAATGAGGAACATGTGTGTATTTTCTTTCATTTTTAGTTGAATGCATTTGAAACCTAAAATTAGAGTTAGTTTTTATTATTCTCAGTCTTATAGATGTTATGTAGTTAATGCTACAGTCAGAATATTAAGAGTAGTCATTAGTGGAGTGCATCACATAATCTATATCCTTCATGTCTTCAGACAATTCTTTTGAATTGTCAGTGGAACACAGAGAATCTCAACATTGTGACTAGTTACTGCCTTTTTACTCAGATGTTTAATTAGCAAAGGTGCCAGCATTCTGTATCATCAATACTGTTTATTTTTCCTGAATTTCAAAAAAACTTTGCTAAGAGGAACAATCACCTACTCAAATATGAACATTTTGATACCGGCTTTAGACATTTTATTTGTGTGATGATTTCTCATCTGGTGCACAGTGCTGTCAAATTTTTGTAAAAACCATCAGGAATTTTTGAATTCCAAATTAATAATATGACATTTTAGAATTAAGAAGTACTTTGATAAAAATGATATTGGTAAATGTATACTCTCAATAAATATCCTAATTTTTCTCATTAAGTTTTTATTTTGGTATGCGGAACCCTAGAAAAAAATTTTTTTAAGGTAGTTGATTTTTTTTTTTTACATAATAGACTCAAAATGATGGTAGGAATTTCAGTAGGGAAAATTGTTTTAATGTATTTTTGTCTTACATATGTAATAGGTGTATTAAGTGAGGTGAATAAATTCCAGGGCTCATAGTGTACTCTTTCTAGCCTTTATTTTGAATTCATTGTGAGAGATCCAGGGTGTTTAATGTTTGCATCACTTGCTAAAACATTTTGAGTTGGTGGACAAATGTAGTATTTGTTAGCACTCGACTAAAGTCCTGTGTCCATTCAGATGTTAGAGATGGAATGAATGCCTCCCGCCCGCCTGCTCATATTCTCCTCATGCAGGTTTTCAAGGTCATTACTTTGGAAATACCCATCCATTTTAGTGTATTTCATGATCCGGCATGCTGTATAGTCTGGATGCAACCACTGTGCAGATTTTACTGCTTAAAATAGTGTATCTGTTAGTCAGAGATTCTGCTGATAGAGCTTCTTAAGAGCCTTAGTCAAAATACTTTCAGGAAGCTTGTGGGTACAGTCCAGTAAACAGCGTTCTACTGTGAAAAGGATTTTTAAGTCTTCAGGACAAGCAGTGGGCAGACTTGTGTTTTTAGTTCCATCTTGACTCTGCAGCACTTTAAGTAAGGTTAACCAAGGCACCAAGTGTGCTTTGACAGGGTCACTTTCCCATCCTTCTGGGGCCTTTGATTCTTACCGAAAGCAGCCTGTCTCTACTTTGTCACCTCATTTATTTTTCTCCTAGATGCATGTCCTTAGAGAGGAGGAGCGTTTTCTTGTATTTTGCATTTGGATTAAATTGTTGATAATTTCCTTATGTTCTCTATTAATTAGAAATTTATGTAAGGTGGATTCCTGATTAAAAGATTCTTGTGATATTGGTGATTTGAATATTCATTTAGCTTTAGAGGCATATCATTTTCAAAATGTCCTTGGGTACTGTATGCTTTACATATGCAAAACCCAGAATGAATATTAATTTAATTCCATCTTCTTAAAATTTTGACCCCCAAATAAGGTACTCAACATTTATTTTCTTTTAGTAGAATTCTTCCCTTTTTTTGGGTGATTCTGGGGAATTGAACCTTAGGACCTCACACTTGGGAGGCATGTTCTTTACTATGTCCTCAGCCCTTAGTTTATTTTTCAGGTTTATATTATTTTACTTTTGTCATTATTTCTTAGTGGTGCCTGGGATTGAACCCGGATCTCACAGTTGCCAGGCATGTGTTCTGCTGCACCTCCTAAATAAGATAAGACACTCTGATCTTATTTTCATGTGTTAATAGTGTCCAGACGTGGAAGTTACAAATATACTTGTGCATAACATTGCTGAAGCTGCGATAGAGGGTTTTACCTCCTGAATCGCTTCGTTTACTAGTGAGTTATCGGTATTGTCAGGCTACTTTAATTTCTGAGTCACCAGATTATGTTAATTCACAAACAAGACTCCCAGCAACTACTGGTTTTTGTAAAGGTATGGATTTTAAGAATACCCTTGCTTCTAAATTTGGAGACAATTGGATGAACAAGTTAGAGTTCTGATTATAGTCAGAGTTTGGAAAACGCAATGCGGATCATGCTTCCAGAGTTAATGCCGAAGTTTTTGTTCTTGCTCCTCCCAATTCACATCGATATCAGAACTTAAAGAAGAAGAAAGAAATGAACTTACTATCTTTTGGTATGTGAAGTTAAATGATAGGGGATATCTTTGGGAAAAAGGGGATTATATATGGCTTTTTATTAAGTGTTGTTTAAAATCTTGTTCTGAAAAGTTAACGTTAGGCCAGTGAGGTAGTTGGGTATGTAGGGTGTGTGCCTTGTACACGGCCGATCCAGTATCTCATGTTCCTCTGTGCACTTCGATGAGTGATTCCTGAGTGCTGAGCCAGGAGTAGCCCCTGAGCATCGATGGGTGTGGCCCAAAAACAATTGAAAAAAATAAGTTAATATTGTTCTGCCCTTTTTGACGTAAACAAAGGACTGAAGAATTTTGTGAGTAAAATGAAGGGAACTTTTATATTATCGGAGTCCTTTAAATGATTTGACAAACTACAAGTAACTAGGTAGCTCCTTTTCACCTGCTTACTTTTTAGTAATGTTATAACAAAGTGATTTCTGCTTTGATTCTTTTTTTTTTTGCTTTTTGCTGACCCGGCAATGCTTAGAGGCTGCTCCTGGCTTTGCACTCAGGAACCACTTCTGGCAGTGCTCGGGGAACCATATGGGATGCTTGGGAATTGAACCCAGGTTGGCCGCGTGCAAAGCAAATGCCCTACCTGCTGTATTATCACTCCAGCCCCTCTGCTTTGATTCTTGAGAAAAATTACAAACCCAATTTTTATGAAATTGCATTTACACAAATTGTTGGACAAATCTTAGTCTGTAACATTTTGGTTTTTGTATCAGAACTTAAAGAGTATTTCGGTCATTCCTCCATGAGCATTAAAACGTGTGTGTGTGGGAATGATGATGAATGATAAACTTCAGTAGCTCTCATTAATGCTAATGGAAGTTCCTCATGTAAACCCTCTGCATTTTGGCAGATGCAAGAAGACCTACATCCAAATAATGGAAAGATTGTAACACAAACCTAACAAAATGTAGACTTAAGGGTAAAGCATGGCTGAATGATCTAGCTTCTATTTTCTTTTTGCTTGTGGAACTGAATGATGGGACCAGCATTTTTCAATTTTAGTGTTTAACATTGGTATAATTCACTTGTTCATAGTTTCTCTCAAGGTTTTGAAGTTTTTGAGTCATTAAAGTTTTCTTGGTTTGCTAATCATCTAGAGCAACATATATTTTTTTAATGGGAACTCCTTTTAAAGTTGCTACTTAAAGCCTTGTCTTCAGAGAAAATCACATAATTCTATTAGGAGAAATAGTCTGAAATTTAAAAATAAACAGCATAGACATAATCTTTGATTTTTGTAGTTTAGTCATGCACTGATAGAGAATAACATAAATTTTTGCATCAACCAAATATTCTGCAAAATGGACTAGTAATATTAAATGTTGCCTTTTTCATGGGAAAGATATTTAGTATAATGTCTTATGAAAACTGAAGCACGTATAATGAAATTTGTTTTCATGGAAATGCTTTGAATAGGTACAAAGGTATTATAAAATTTAGAGATATATTGACTATACTATATCAATTTTGAAGAGGGCTATCGTGTATATTTTATAGATTAAGTTTGAAATATAATTTTTGATTATGTTCATCATTCTGTGTAATTGCTATTATTTAAACTAAGTCATTTGAACGGAAGCTAGTGTTTTAATATAAATAATTAAAATTAATTTTAATTAATTTTATTTTAAATTAATTTATTTTAATTACTTTTTAATATTAAAAAGTCTATATAAAAGTATTTTATATTTTTATATAAAAGTCTTCTATAAATTTTAGAATTTGTAGATTTAGTATGTACACTTGGTAGGTTAGTATATAAAATTCATTTTAAAAGTGTTTTAGCCATATCACAATTAAGAAAATTGTTCTTTTGCTTTTGAGTCTTAAGAAATTTCACTGTCACTGTCACTGTCCTCCGGTTGTTCATCGATTTGCTCGAGCGGGCCCAGTAATATTGTGAGACTTGTTACTGTGTTTGGCATATCGAATATGTCATGAGTAGCTTGCCAGGCTCTGCCGTGCGGACAAGATACTCTTGGTAGCTTGCTGGGCTCTCTGAGAGGGGCAGAGGAATCAAACTCAGGTCGGCCACATGGGCCGTGTGCAATTTATGAGTTAGAATTCGTTTTATTTTCTTTACTTCGATTGAAAATGTTTTTTTGGTGGAGGGCTAGGCCGTGCCTGGTGGTTCTTGGATGTTACTCCTGGCTCCGTGCTTGGGAGTTGTTTCTGGTGGCACCTGGGTTTATGCAGTGCCAGGAGTCAAACTGGAAATCAAACCTGGGTCAGCCGCATGCAAGGTAAGTGCCTTATCTCCGGTGTGCGCCCTCTGATTTCTTTGACGCTCACTTAAATGTGGCTCCCTGGGAATCCAGTAGTAGTATAAAGCTAAATTCCTGGCTGCTTTGATTATGTGAAACTGCAGTTCATTACAGAATAAAAGGCAAATTAGGTTTGGAGTTTATCATTGTGACTTAATGTCTTGTGAAACTATTGTTGTATTGTTATTTAGTTTTATTTTTTGGTGATCTTTATATTAATTTTTTATATTCTAGGAAACTTGAATGTTACCCTTCAAGTTTGGGATATAGGAGGGCAGACAATAGGAGGCAAGATGCTGGATAAATATATCTATGGAGCACAGGTATAATACGAATTCTGTGATTGTTATTCTTATACTAAAAAATAGTTACTCCATGAACCCTTGCAAATTGGTACGTGGACACACACACACTCTAATTCAGTTTATTCTTATATGTTTACCAGAATTTTAAGTTCTGATTGTAGTTCAGGTAACATCACAATGTCATTAATGCTTATGGTTCTGACTTAGAAAGTTACCACACTGTAACTCACCAAAGTCCCCAAGATCTTCCGCTATGGAATATCTGTCACTTTCAGTTCATCTTGTCCTTCCCAGCAACTAATCTGTGATGAAGAGAAACTTTACGGTTATGTTTCTTCAGTTTTACTCTCCTCAAGTTAAATCTAGAAAGATTTTGGTTTGAGAACTGCTGTAACTGCTGTTTGATTCTCCTGACTCTCATGTGCTGCTTCTGTCACGAGATAATGTTGCCAGCTGTTGAAGAAATGCAGTAATAAATGATATCTTTATATTTTGCTGGTTTGGTTATAGTGACTGCTTTGGGACAAGTCAACTGCTCTCAGAACAGACAAATTGGAGGGGAACTTTTAATTTCATTTTTGAGCTGTAAGGACGTAAGACATTTGCGTATTTTTTGTGCTGGGAATTAACTTACTGAATACTTGCAGTTCTTTAGGGTAGATAGAGCTATCAGTACACATCACAAACTAAGCATGGTTATCTGTGTGAAGCACATCCAGTGTTTTAGAATTGTAATTTTTTTTTAGATGAGAATCTACGTGGAGTAAGAAATAGAACTTGAGTATATAGAGCAAAGATCTTTGGCCACGTGATCTAATACAAAAATAAATTTAAAAAGAATTAGAAGTATAACATATGCCTGGTAGTAATCTGATTTCAAGCAGTAGATTTTGGCATACTGATTTTGGTTGCATTTCCTTTGACTTTTCATTTAATTTTTTAGAAGACTGTGCTGTTATCCGTGGTATAGCTGCACATCTCTCCGCGAATATGGATGTCGCTCTGCCTGCCAGCCACGTTCCAGTTCCTTTCACTTTTAATAGGATTTTTCTTATTCTCATGAGGCAAAAGTTGGAGGGAGGGTCGTTATATTCTTTTTTCTTTTGGGGGGGGGTCAGACCTGGCGATGCTCAGGGTTACTCCTGACCCTGCACTCAGAGTGCATTTCTGGTGGGCTCGGAGAACCACATGTGGTGCTGGGGATCTAAGCCGGGTCGGCTGCAGACGAGGCAGTCACTCGGCCCCTCGTTTTATATTTATGCAGGTTTCCTTTTCTCTTAGGACCTTTCTGAGGCTTGGGAGACAGTGCCGGATTTAGGGTACATGCCTTGTATGTGCTTACCCTGCTTCTCTCCCTGGTGTCCCCTGCACCTGGGGTGTGTGCCCCTGGCACTGCCTGAGCTCTGCTTGGGGAACGAGGAGGCAAATCCCGGGATGGGGGTGGGACTCCCATTCAGGAGCAGACTTGGTTGGCTGAGAATCCCCTGTGAGGTGCCCCCAGAGCTCCTGAGCGCCTCTGGGAGGCACCCCCCACGAGGCTCTTTTCCTAGTTTTGAGCCTGGCTCATTCAGTATTTTTTTTTTTTTTCTGTTTCAAACAGACTGGCTTAAAGTTAGATATTAAGCAGAAGAAAACTTGGTTGATGAGGCTTGTGGGAAGCCAAATTCTGATCTCTCTGTCCCTGATGGGTAAAAAAATTTGGAGAAAGCAGCATTGCTTGCTCTGCATCATGAAGTGATTTCCAAGGACACACTTCGGCTTTTCTTGAAAATGAAAAATTTTATTAGTCCAACATATATCTGTGTGAAATGGAATAGCTTTGGATGGCTTGTCAGTATATCCAGAATTGTGGAGAACAGAATGATTTTATGCATCTTATGGTAAATGAGCACATAGTGCACATGGGTTTTTCTTTTTTCTTTTTTTTTTGTTATTGTTGTTCTGTTTTTGGGCTGCACCTGGTGGTGTTCAGGCCTTACGCCTGGCTCTGCACTCAGGGGTCTTTCCTGCTAGGGGATCGGGGATCTTTCAGGACCTTGGTGATCATGCCTGCGTCAGTCAGAGGCAAGGCAAGCCCCTTAGTCCCTGTAATATCTCTCTAGCTTGTGGTCACAGATTTTATGACTTTCTTTTTATCATCTGAACATTGATTGAGCCATTAATAAGTTAAAAATTCATTAGCATGAAATTAAGGTGAAAGAGTCCAGAGTCAGCTATTAAAGTATCCAGTATCGTTTGGCACTGGGGCCTGAGTGCTGTGGGGCCCTCTGGGTGCTGGGTAGGACCTGGGCTACCCTGCAGTGTTTGGCACCACCCTGGGGGCCCCCTGAGGAGACCCCGTTTGCAGGTGAGGGTTGAACCTGGGTTGGCAGCAAGGTGCAATCCTGTGCTGTCCCTCTGGCCAGTTGCAGAAAACTTGTTGTTGTTGTTAACTACAGTAGCTTTTATTTATTTATTTATTATTGAACCACCGTGAGATAGTTACAAAGCTTTCATGTTTGAGATTCATCCATACAGTGATTGAAACCCATCCCTTCACTGCCTCTGTAGCAGACAATTTCCCAGATACTCTCTCCAAATTTTGGGCATATTTTGCTCGAATTTTCCCACCACCATTCAAGCCTGCCTTCCAGCGACAGACACTACTAGATCATTTATTTTCCATTGCTCATTTTGCATATCATGAGAGGTCATAGCCGCATGCTTTGTAGAACACTTTTTAAAATTTTTTTTTAATTTTTAATACATTTATTTATTGAATCACTGTGAGAGCAGTTACAAAGCTTTTGGGTTTAAGTCTCGGTCATATCCTCGACCTAACACCATGCACAAAAGTCGGATCAAAATGGATTAAGGATCTCAACATCAGGCAAAAATCCATAAGATACATTGAAGACAAGGTCGGCAAAACCCTCCACGATATTGAGGCTAATGGTATCTTCAAAGACGATATTCCACTGACCAAGTGGAAACAGAGATAAACAAATGGGACTATCTTAAATTAAGAAGCTTCTGCACCTCAAAAGATACAGTGACCAAAATACAGAGACAATCTACAGAGTGGGAAAGGATATTTACCCAACACCCATCTGATAAAGGGTTGATGTCAAGGGTATACAAAGCACTGGTTGAACTCTGCAAGAAGAAAACATCCAATTTCATCAAAAAATGGGGCGACGCAATGAACAGAAACTTTCTCAAAGAAGAAATCCGAATGGCAAAAAGGCACATGAGAAAATGCTCTAAAACATTAATCATCAGGGAGATGCAGATCAAAACCACAATGAGATATCATCTCACACCACAGAGACTGGCCCACATCCAAAAGAACAAAAGCAACCAGTGTTGGTGTGGATGTGGCGAGAAAGGGACCCTCCTTCTCTGCTGGTGGGAATGCTGACTGGTTCAGCCCTTTTGGAAAACGGTATGGATGATTCTCAAAAAATTAGAAATTGAGCTCACATTTGGCTCAGCAATACCACTGTTGGGAATATATTCCAACGAGGCCATAAAGTACAGTTGAAATGACATCTGCATTTCTATGTTCATTGCTGCACTATTCACAATAGCCAAAACTTGGAAAAAACCCGAGTGCTCAAGAAGATCTCTGGTTAAAGAAACTTTGGTACATCTAAACAATGGAGTACTATGCAGCTGTTAGAAAAGATGAAGTCATGAAATTTACATACAAGTGGTACTACATGGAAAGTATCATGCTAAGTGAAATGAGTCAGAAAGAGAGGGACAGACATAGAAAGATTGCATTCATCTGGGGCATATAAAATAACAAAATAGGAGACTAACACCCAAGAATAGCCGAGATAAGTACCAGGAGGTTCACTCAATGGCTTGGAGGCCAGCCACACATGCTGGGGGAGAAGGCAGCTCAGATTGAGAGGGGAGCACCAAGTAAAGGGTGTTGGGAGGATCCTCCCAGGATGAGGGATGCATGCTGAAAGTAGACTATAGACCGAACATGATTGCTACACAATGCCTCTTTTGCAAACCACAGCACCCAAAAGGAGAGAGAGAACAAAAGGGAATGCACTGCCACAAGGGTAGGGTGGGATGGGGAGGTGGGGGAGGGGGGATGCTGGAAGCATTGGAGGTGGGGAATGGGCACTGGTGGAGGGATGGGTACCAGTCATTGTATAACTAAAACCCAAGCACAAAAAATTGTAAGTCTACAACTGTACCTCATGGTGTTTCACTAATAAAAATTAAAAAAAATACCATAATGATCTTAGGCATATGTTTAAGCGTAAATATTATTAAGATTTTCAGAAGTAAAAAAAAAGTCTTGGTCTTACAATGATGAAATACCCATCCCTTCACCAGTGCACATTTTCCACCACCAAAACCCCTAGTAAACCCCCTATGTCATACCTTCCCCCTACCTGTGTGGCAGATGATTTCCACATTACTCTTTCACTACTTTGATTACATTCAGTATTTTGACACCAGACCCACCATTATTATTTGGGATTTTACCCCAACACTCAGATCTGCTGAAAAGGCAACAGTAGACAATTTGTTTTCTATTGCTGGTTATGAATAACATATGAGTCACGCGGCCACAGTAGCACCCATGTGATTTTGGGATTTTGAAATTTTAATAATTAAATCTGGAGGGATATTATATAATAATCTAATCTGTCTGAAGCCGCTGGGTTCCAAGATTTGTTTCTGAGTCTCTGGGATCATGGCCATTAAGCAGCAGCTTGATCAGGAGCCAGGGAGGCTGTGCAGAATACTTTTTTGCAGTTCGTTTCATGTTGTTTCATAGTGACTTATAATCAGTGGGCATTAATGGGACAGTTTGTATAAATTTGGAAAATTTATGTCTTTTTGAGAGTACGTTAGCAAAACATCTTAATTCTTATTATTTTTAATTCTTATACCTCTTTCCTTGGAAGTAAAGAGAATACTATAGTTTTAGAACTTCTTTTATAAGATTTCTATTTTAAAGGTACCTGTGAACATTTCTCTCTCTCTCTCTCTCTCTCTCTCTCTCTCTC